CACACACACACATAATCTTTAGGGTTAAATTTCTAGTATTACACGAAGTAAGTATGAAAAAATTTACTTTAAGATACTTTAAGACTTTTACTCAAGTAATATTCCTAAAGGAGATTTAGCTGTTACCAACATAGTTTTTGGTAATATACTTGTACTTTTACACAAGTATGACTTTGTGGTACTGTACATAATGAGAAGCAGTAACTCCTCTGTCCTGTTCCTGCAGCGGTCCTCGTCAGCTCCACAGTTTGGATCATTGAGATCATCGCCAACTCTGCTCCTCTCTTCCACGACGAGCTCTTCCAGGACCGCTTCAACCACACCTTCTGTTTTGAGAAGTACCCCATGCAGGACTGGGTGGCAGGGATGAACCTCTACAGGACCTTTCTTGGCTTCCTGGCTCCGTGGTCGGCCATGCTGGTGGCCTACAGGGGGATCCTGGCGGCGGTGCGCTGCAACATTTCCACGGAGCGCCAGGAAAAAGCCAAAATCCAGCGCCTGGCCTTGAGTTTGATCCTCATCGTTCTGCTGTGCTTCGGACCGTACCACATCCTCCTCCTGGTGCGGAGCGTCATGTTCCTGAGGAAGCCGTGCGACTGCAAGTCCGAGGAGACCCTGTTCGCCGCGTACCACGTGTCGCTGGCGCTGACCAGCCTGAACTGCGTGGCCGACCCCATTCTGTACTGTTTCGTAAACGAGGGGGCCAGGAACGACGTGAGCCGAGCCCTGGCCGCCTTGCTGTCCTCGGCGTGCCGCAGGCGCTCCTCGTCCTCGCCGTCGCACGCCGACATTCTGAACGCTGGGTCCGTTACCATGGACACGCCTCTGTCGGCCAAGAAGCCATCTTGTGTGTACGCCGGCAGCGGGAAGACCACCAGCTACAAGACGGAACTGTTGGTCATGAAGGACGAGTGTCTGCAGATGACCATCCTCGGGGTTAAAAAGTGAAACGAACCGTCCAGCTTCTTGAGGAAGGACTTTCTGACACTCTGTGTCTTCAGTGTGGACGAAACGTCCAACTAAAAGCCAAAATCAGGTTTCTGTCAACTAAACAGTCGGCGTCACCTGATGTCAGCTCTCTTTGTTACATCATGAAGGTTTTCCTTTAAAAAAAACAACAAATTACCTTTATTTTTTTAATGCAGTTTGTAGAATAACTTAAAATGTAGGACTGTTGCTTTCTGATTGCATCATTTTGGGCTCAGACAGAAAAGTTTCATCTGTTAGCTGAAGCTAAAACATCTTTAAACCCCAAAAATTAAAAAAAGTGACGATGAAGAGTACTTTCTCATCTATCTGTGGGGTTTTCTTAGGAATGCACCGATAACCAGGTCAGTGGTTGGTTGACCAAATATTGGGTCGAAATGTTTTACCCAGTATTTGGTCAAACAGATAACCCAGCCCTGTTGTTACAAATGTCTAACGTTGGTTCGGTCCACATTTGATCCAGTGCTGGATTATTGGCAGGTTGAAGTCATGTGACACGGTTGACACGGACATTCAGATGGGGGCAGGAAGTGATTTTACTCCTTTTCAAAACAGTGAAATGGATCACAGCGAGTGTGTTAATGCTCTAAATGTGCAGATGCCGATGAGATTACGTTTAAGATCTGATCCATACTGTCTTAAAGGGATCCCTGATTAGTTGTAACATTAGACTTTATTTGATAAACACTTACTTTAACTGTAAAATAAAGACTAAAAATGCTGTAGGCTTAGTTTTTATAATTTTTAAAAATATATTACACAAACGGAGCCATTTTATTTACACACAAAGCATTCTGGGTAAATGACGACGTGGATAGGTCCTCGGTGCGAGGCTGCTAGCGAGCTATATCCACCCTGAAGGTTAATCTTGGACAATATCTGATG